TCACTATGGAAGTAGATTGCCCAACCTTCCTTCCGAGGAGTGGCTCGTGGGTTTGAACCGCCAGACTTCTGGTCAGCAGTCCAATGCCTTAGACACTACGCCACAAGCACACAACACAATGTAAACACAGCTCTGGTGGTGTGGTGCCTAAGGCATTGGACTGCTAACCAGAAGGCAGGCGGTTCAAACCCACTGGCTGCTCCAAGAAAGGAAGATGGGGCCATCAACTTCCATAAAGATTTACTGCCTTAGAAACCCAACAGGACTTGCTATGAGTAGGAATCAACGCGATGGCAGTGGGTTTGGTTTCGTTTGGTAAACACAACACTACAGATTGCATTGGGCACATCCGCTGCAAAACCCTTCTTCAAAGTGTTAATCAGTAAAGATGTCACTGTGAAGATGAAGTTGAGCGTGGCCCTTACCTGAGCCCTACTATTTTCAGTCACCACCACCTATGGACAATGAATAAGGAAGACCGGAGAAGAATGGATGCCTTTGAATGACGATGTTGGCAAAGAATGTTGAATATCCCGTGGCATGCCAGAAGAATGAACAAATCTGTCTCGGCAGAAACACAGCCAGACTGCTCCTTGGAAGTGAGGGTGGTTAGACTTCATCTCACGTTCTTTGGACATATGGCCAGCAGGGACCAGTCCGTGGAGAAGGACATCCTGCTGGGTAAAGTGGAGGGTCAGCGAAAAACAGGAAGGCCCCCAACGAGATGGAACGACCCCGGGACTGTGATGAGGGGCTGAAGCGTCGCAAGGACCGTGAGGCTGGACCGGGCAGTGTGTCGTTCTGTTGTACACAGAGTTGCTACGAGTCAGAGCCGACTCCACGGCCCCTCACAACCGCGACAACATACACAACGCCGGCAGTATTGCAGATGTGTGGCTGCGGCTGCTGAAGGTGACCTTGGAATTGGCCCTCCTGGCGAACAACTGCAGGGCACCGAATGACTTGGGGTGGCTTTTCCAGCCATAGTCTTTGGGCCTCCCACCAGGTGACTGGGTGGGACCATGCAAATAAGGTGTATGGATCAGAGACACCCCGGCTCAGAAGTGGCGGCCGTGAAACCAAGAGGCATGAGACCAAGCAGTGAGCTTGCCAGCCCACAGAGAGAGAAGGCTGAGTGCCCTCGGGCAGGAGGCTTGCTGGCGGAGTGGGGTGCGCGTGGGTGCCCCTATCGGCACAGCTGAAACAACTCAGTACCACTTGCCCAAGCAGGGCAGAGGCCAGGCCGAGAGGCCAAGGTCCAGAGAGGCGAGCGTGAGGGCAGAGGGGAGACTGTCCTGATGGAAGAACTGTACCCTGAGTGCGTTCCTGAATCTGGACTGTAGCCTGTTACTTCCCCAATAAACCCCATCATCATGAGTATTGTCTGTGAGTTCTGTGTGGCCATTGCAACGAATGATCAAACCCAGCAGAAAAGGATGAGTGCGGTAGGAAGGAGGGTTGGTGTCAGAATTGTAAAAAGGCTGCAGGCTGGGGCATGTCTGGGCCCATAGGAATCAGCCTTGGGCTGCTGACCATGACTGTTTTCCTCTGGTCA